TTTATCCTACACATGCTGTTTTGTTTGGGACCGTTTACTAACGAACTACTTGACCGCTCACTCTTTTGCCGCCGAGGCTGAATCGCTCACTGGTGTCCGTCCACAGCCTGGAAAGGCGGAGTGCCACCTGTCCAATTGGTGCGGCCAACCGGGCTGGTGGGGATTTTCAACCGGGTTGTTTCTTTACCTGGACTGTCATGGACACGATGCTAAGAAAATTGTGTATTGAAGAGGACCATGGGTTAAAGGGGGGTCATGGACTGAATGAACGCACTCCCCCGCTTCCCTGCGGCCGCCAGCGAGGACTGGTGCGCTGAAAAGTGATATGCAGTGGGCTATAGGCGACGCTGCTGCCACCTAGCTATCTATAGTACAAGTTATTACCACCAGGGGCATTCCACGATAGATCGACCAAAGCCGTATGTACTTACACCCTCATATTTTATTTTCTGCTTAAAATTGGTGTAATGGGTTGTTATGGGCGGGGAAGCCAGCTGTGCCAAGGATTTTTTTCTTCGAACAACGGTTTCCGAGATATAGCCTCAGGCAATTTCTGGAGGTCACGCTGCAACCCTATGTTTGGCGGCTTATAACTCAGAAACTATTGGTTTTCTATGGTATAAACTTTATATGGTTCAACTCGCAATCAACCAGCAAATGTTTTGGCTATCTCGGATTTTCGATTTTTGAAAATTTTGATTACGTGACATCTTGATTTTTTTTCGAAGAGTGACCTTGATATTTTCCCAACTGAAAGTCGCAATTTTGTCTGGTGACGATTAAAGCCTTATCAATTGTCATTCATATGCGACAATAAAAAAGTGGCCTTCGGCCTGCATTGACCTGAGATCAGGTCATTTTTTGACCTGTCCTTTATAAGTCAATGACAGAAATATCGGCTACCACCGAAACGTATCTGACCGGTTCAAATACTTTTGAATCATGTTGAGTTAGGCTATTATTGATGGCACTGGTGCAGCTTTGTATCAGTGACCCGCTGAAAGGTCATCCGAGGTCACGCGTTGAACACACAATATTTTTCTGTTTTGGCTGTACCTTTTGATCTAATAAAGAAAGAGACGTAGAATAGGCGCCAATCCGTTTGATTTCGCCTAGTGCCAGTTCGTTTTGAATTTCGATACCGATGACCTGAGGTCAGGTCAATTTCTTGACCACCCCATTATAAATCAATTGGGGAAAAATCAGCTCCCTTATTTTTACACTAAAACGCGTCGGAATTGCCTAATATACCATGAGTGACTCCATATGCGACTAACTTTGACTACCTTGAGACCTTTTTTGCTCTTGGTCAACTGTGACGTTGCTCTTGGGTCATGTGACGTCATTAAAGGTCACCAAATGTTTTTTTTTTGCTAATACCTCCTTACAGGTTTGAGATACAGCCGCGCGGATAGGCTCATTGTGTTCAGCTCGTCAAGGCCCATCGAATGATATCTGTGATGACCTTAAGGTCACGTGACCTAAGGTCAACTTTTGACCTTGACCTTTCGAGGTCAACATACACATGTTTCGATGCGGATCGACGAGAGGATCACGATGGTGCTATTAGTTTGTTCCTAGCTGGGATACTCCAAAAGTTATTCGAGAAAAACTTCATATATAGGTATGTAGTGCCGCCATTTAGACTTTCTTTTTACCCCTGTGACGTCATCTTTGACCTGACCTTAAAAATGACCTGGGTAAAAATTGTAGACCTTATCCATGTGTATGTACCCTGTGCCGTTTACCGCTTGTCGCTATCTTGCTTTGTTCTCGAGATCTCGCTGTCGCTCCCGCTCGTAATAATGGGAAGGTCATAAAAATGACCTGACCTGAGGTCAACGCAGGCCGAGAGCCTTTTTTTATTATCGCATATGAATGACAATTGATAAGGCTTTAATCGTCATCAGACAAAATTGCGACTTTCAGTTGGGAAAATATCAAGGTCACTTCGAAAAAAAGGTCAAGATGTCACGTGATCAAAATTTTCAAAAATCGAAAATCCGAGGTAGTTAAAACGTTTGTTGGTTGATTGCGAGTTGAAGCATATCAAGTTTTTACCATAGAAAACCAATAGTTTCTGAGTTATAATCCGCCAAACATAGGGTTACAGCGTGACCTCCAGGAACTGCCCGAGGCTATATCTCGGAAACCGTTGTTCGAAGAAAAAAATCCTTCCCATATAGCTGGGTTCCCCACCCATCACAACCCATTAGACCAATTTTAAGCAAAAAATAAAATATGCGTGTGTAAATTTTAAGTTTTTTTGGTCGATCTATCGTGGAATGCCCCACCAGGGAGCTTCACGCTTGTTCGTCGCTTATACCTATTGGAAATGCACAGAAGGTTGAGGCTTTGGCTTCTGTTGGGCATCGCTATTTATTTTTGCAGTTTACTCACCAGTGACATTTATTTGTCTCAGGACTGGTTTGAAAAATAAGTAGTTGTCCTAGTTAAGTGTTTTACGTTTGTTATAAGGGAATGTCCTTTGAGTCATATTTTAATTTGCATGAAGTTGGTACAGACGTTCTCGAAAAGGCGAATACAAAGAAACAAACGACCTTTCCTAAACTCAGATAATTTCACAGACATTTATGGGCACACATTCTGTGGATCAAACCGAAACTCCAACCATCGGAACGGTCGAATCTGTCTTTTTTCCTTTAGAACAAACGCTCATTTGGACGTTTCGGGTGAGTCAATTCACAAACATTTATCTTTCGTTAGAACTTTTGAAATATTTGCTCTTTCACACACCTGTCCTCACCTGGGACAATTTTGGCCGCGTTATTAGCTTTAATAGCGGGCCTCGGCCCTGCTGCGGGGGTGGACACTGCAGTCTGGATTGGTCGGTACATCATCGACCTGTCTATTTCGGGAGCGAAGCCGCAGGTCAGGGGGTTTTGACCGTAGACCGCAGGACTGACGATGCACATCATTGTCGAATACCAGAGCTCCCGGCAATGCCAGTGATTACCGGTGGTTCATTATTGACCGGTGGTTCATGTGGTATTGCTTTGATTTTTTCTTTGGGGGGGGGGGATAAAATTGAATATAATAATAGACTAGATACCGGCACCATCGATATCTATCCGACGTTTCCTCCAGCTGTTTGTTTCAGCTAGTTGATTGATTTCCTATTGGTAGTCGTTAGAGCGTTCAGCCCTGGCCCCATTTTGACCGAGGCGATTCTATATACAAACAGAAATAAGTAAACTGTAAAACCAATAAACGCAAGCATGATACCAGTTCTTGACCCTCCCCAGAGAATCGTTGCTTTAGTGCCAATATTTTGCACATAGCTGTGATAGTAGAAAAAATGTAGAGTAGGTTAGGTATGTATCGTCTTTAAGGCGCGAAATGTGTCGACCCTCTTCACAAAAACGCAATACCTGCTGAGTGACACGCCAGTATTATCAGACGGTAGCCACCGCTTCCAACGTGTCACCATTGACAGTTTCGAAACTACATTGGGTTTTCCTGACAGTTTTACTGAGACGATGTGTGGATATGATTTCTGACGCACATAGCTATAGGGACGGCTACTCAGAGCAGAAGTCTGTCAGACACCCAAGCGTGCGCCGTCGGCTATCCAACAGGACACGTGACACGCGCCTCACATGACACGTGACACGTGACACGCCACGGGCAACTCCACCTCCTTGCAGAGTCCGTGTCAGACGGGTCAGCGGTGGTTTTTCATTTGCTATTCAGCACCACTGAAGGTGACAGCTTAGAGCGCTACCAGTCACTGGCTAAGATCGCCGATGAGAGCCAAAGCCAGCCAGCCTCCATCGCGGCTCCGGACAGCTCTGATGGAAAGCTGCGTTTTCTGAGAGCTTCAATAGAAAGCTTCTTTTGGTGCCGGATCGGCTGAGTGAGGGCGGGAGTCGAAAGCGGCGCCTGGAGAGCTACAAAACCATCCCGCTGGGAGGTCCGCCACGGTGCCCACTCGCTGTGCGAAACCCGTCACGGACTGTTTGGCTGTATTCCGCTCTATCCGGGAGCGGCTTTTCTCGCGCGGACCGCGGTATGCGGCAGATTCCGAGGCTGTGCACCTCTCACGGGCCGTCCCATTTTCCTGCATCTCACCGGCTCGTTCCGTGTGGTGACTCTGGCCGACTCAGCCGCGGAAAATGGCCACCGGCTGGCAGTGGTTAGTCGTAGACTGTCTGGTGCTTACCACTCGATCATGGATTATCGGAGACACCAGCCGCGGCCCGCCGGACTCACGGTCTGCCGCGGCTGCACCTCCTTAACACGGTGCACCTCCCGTCTGGCCGGCAACCCACGGTCTAGAATGGGATTCTCAGCCAATAGGTAGGCTACCAGACCTGAAGAATAAAACATTGGAAGTCGACTGAAAAGAACAGCGGGACTGATTCCGGGTGAAAAGAAATACCTCAATTACCGAGCTGCAAATGATCACTTCCAGTCAAAAGCCCGGTTGCCGAGCTCTAAGCCGGTAGCCTGGTCCTTAAACCCTCTAACTAAGCCGGTGATCAACTCTTAGAGCTCGTGCTGAGTAGAAGGCGGGGACCGTGGCTCCTATCGACCGCAGCCCCGTCCTATTGGAGGGCATCAGCTGGCCTGTGTCATAATTCACTACGCCGGTCGGTATCGGACCGCTGATCACCGTGTCGTATCGAGCGGTGTGCGTCTGCAATGACGTGGGCCTATTTCAGATCCACTGACGTGTGGTAAAAAAAAGAAAAGGTACCTATCATCCAGCCAATTGACAAATAATGGGCGACATCGATACTATTCTGCGGCACATTATGTTGACTCGGCGCCCTCGTGTTATTTTATTATTTCATTATTTTTGTAAAGCTCGTTTGGTTTGTATGTAAAACGATGCTGCTGCTCTCGTTACTTACATGTCATGCTATTTATCAATATTTTATTTTACATTTCCGCTTAAACCGAATGATTTAATCACCCTGTAGCTAAAGCATCGTTATCGATTTATTTCATTGATTTCCGTTTTGTTTCGTTTCAAGGACGCCGCCTCAGCTACCTGCCGGTGTAAGGAATCTTCATCGGACCTGCAACCAAACTACCGGTCTATCAGACGCCACTGCAATCTAGCCCGGGCCATACCCACAGCACCGGAACGGCGAGCTTTCGGACGACGACCGGCGCACAATGCGCATAGTGCTGGACAGTCTGTGGCCGCGGGAGAGGGAGAAGCCTGTCAGTCCTCTCCGTGCTGCATCCCCGGGCTCGCCGGGATCTCCTCAATCAGTGATGTCCTCAGGACAAAGTGACGGCAGTGGACGGAAGACGCGCTGGCTCACCGCCATCGCACGCAACAAGAGCGTGCGTCGCACTTCACAGAGACTCCAGGAGTGGCTGAGCAGCGAGAGTCTGAGTCAGACCGCCGCTCCGGCCCAGTCGCCCCCTCCAGTCACCTCCCGATCGGCCAGAGACACGGGTGACTACGGCTTTCTCGAGTTCTACTCGGGGAGCCGGCGGCGGGCTGCTGCCGGGGACACAGCGCCACCGCCGCTGCCGCCCCCGCCGCAGCAGTCGGGACCGACCCTGGCGCCCCTGTCCGACCTGTCGACGCTCAGTCGTCGAGGGAGTTACGCCGAGTTTTATCCGGGCGCCCTGGGAAGCTGTAGTCTACCGAGAGACCTGGCTGAGGTGGCGGCTGCTGCGGAGGAGGCGGCGGCCTGGCAGCAGTCCCCGTACGAGAGGGGACGCTCCGACTGGAGGGCTCAGGGCTGGCCGTCAGGACGCGGTGGAGTGGAGAGGACAGGGGCGTGTGTCGCAGGTGGATGAGGGAGCGTCGGCTCGCGTCAGACGCAGCGGGGACGGCCGACGCGACTGCAGGGGTCGGAGAGGGACGGTGACGGTCCACGGCGGACAGGAAGCAGCACGCTGAGGGCGACTCGCTGCGTCTCCGGATCGGATCCCAGCCGGCGCGAT